CATGGAACGACGCCAGTTTACATTGGGGCAGATCTTACTTTGCTCCTGCACAAGACAGAGTAGAAAAATATTAAAGCCTTGTTCATAAATCACTGTCAGTCTCTGACGAGGGCTGTCCAAGCTACAACGAGATGAATTGCTCAAGTCGTGATTCCTTCTCCGTTCCTCTCCCTGCCCGCTCCAGAAGTTGGAGGATCTGGAAACCATAATCCAACAAACGTGGCTTTTCCTTTCCTTTAACCTGATGGGATTTCAGATGGATCAGCTGCAAAAACACTTCAAACCCATACAGAACCTTCCAGAAAAATCAGGAAAGGGCTGCAGGGCTCCCTGGGCAAACAAGTGCCTAATTATGCAGGCAAAGATGTCACGCAATGCTATCAGCAACTAACTGTTATGTGGCAGATTCCCTTCACAAATCTCTCCTGCTGTTCATTTTTGTATTTTTCTTTGTCTAGTCACAGCCTGGAGGAGATGATTGTGTAAAAAACTCACTGCTCTGGAGCAGCACTGAGAAAGACTTTCCTTCTCATCAGGGCGGAAACTCACACAGAGCAAAATCACCCTGCTATGATTATTATTTGCCTTTAAAATACTTAAAATACATCTTAACGTCCTAAAAACACATCCAGTTGTTGCAATAAGAAGGGGAGGGCTGAGATTTCACCTGTGTATAACACCGTGGCTCTTGTACTGCTCTCAGAAGACAGGCAACATGCACGGAATTGCATCTGAAAACAGTCAGTAAGAGACTGGAAAACAGGAGAGATGACATCCCTTACTACCTGCAGGTACAGCATGAGGGACAACAGGTCACTCCTGCTTGGGAACATTACACGGGTGATGCCACAGCAGAATTTATTACCAACATTGCTCAAGCTCCCTCATTCTCAGATCTCACTGCTTTTTCTAAGCTTTCAGTGTTTCCCGAGACAGGAGGTGGCAGCGGGTCAGCGTGGTTCAGCACTTTCCTTGCTGTTGACCTCCTCATCCCTTGTTGAACACAAAAACTTGCCTCCTCCCACCTCCACACTTACCGGAGCCCCCATCAGCCTCACACTCTGCAATCGGAGCCCTTTCTTCGGGCCGTCAGCTCAGCCTTCGCCGCTCAGCAGGAACCAGAGAGGCTCCATTAATCATCTTTTCTCCAAGTCTCCAGTTTTCTGCTCAGGTTCCTGCCCAGCACTCCAGCATCCTGTCCTCTGGGCTGCTCCTGGGCTGTGGCCAGGCCACTTGCACCCACATCCCGACCCTTCACACCACGCACGGCTGACACCAGTTATTAAGCAACACCATTTACTAGGCCCTAACACGCTGAGCCGCACCATATCTCTTTTCCTATTCAGATCTAATTCTAGGAACAATCCGGATGAGATCATGTACAGAGGAAATGACACGTCTTGCCTGCGCTGAGGACCAAACGGCAGCATTACATGCTGAAGTGCCACAGATGTTTGATACGGTTGTATTTTGAACCATTCCCTCCCTTCCCAAATCAAAACAACAGGAGAGGGGTTTCTCGGGGAGTTTTGTAGTACAATGGCTGCTCAGCTGTGGGTAGAAACATCTTCACAGAACAGTTTGGGTTGGAAGGGACTTGAAGATCATCCAGTTCCAACCCCCTGCCCTGGGCAGGGACACCTCCCACCACACCAGGTTGCTCCAAGCCCCCTCCAACCTGGCCTTGAACCCCTCCAGGGATGGGGCAGCCACAGCTTCTCTGGGCAGCCTGGGCCAGGCTCTCACCACCCTCACACCAAAGAATTCCAAGATCTCATCTAAATGTCTCCTTTTTCAATTTAAAACCATCCCCCCTCATCCTATGGCTCCCCTCCCTGATCAAGAGTCCCTCCCCATCTCTCCTGGAGCCCCTTTAGGTACTGGAAGGCTCCTTTCAGGTCTCCCAAGAGCCTCATGAAAGCAAAGGTTGGAAAGCCCAGGTACAGACTGGTGTGATGGGCCTGAACACTCCTATCAGCTGTGTTGGCATCATTCATGGTGCTCCTGGCAAACAGAGGACACAGCAACAACTTTGTTCCACTCAGGAATGAGACTTCAGCTCCTTCCAGGCCCCAGGGTTGAGAATGGTGACTTCACAGCTCCCCTGCATTTTCCACAGCCACGCAAAACTGGGGCAGGCAGGCAGACAAAACACCAAACCCAACAGAAAACGTGATCCTCTCTGGGGAAACCTTCAACTTTTCAGCCAGAAAGAACAAACTGTGTCCCAGCGTGCTTTGAACTTAATGAAGCATGTTATTTTTAGCTTTTATAGATGAATATGTCATTAAAAGCAAACATATTTCAGGGGAAAAAAAAACTCAGTTCCCTGCAATTTGGCCTCTTTTGAAGGCCACCTCTACTTTCAACAGAGGATAATGGGTTATAATAATAATAAAGATAAACACATTGGGCACCTTTTTCCTTTCTACACAGGGCACTGCAGTTTTGCTTCCAAACAGATAACAATATAATTTCCTTCCATTTAAAAATCCATTTGTTGCTACCATGTAACTGAGAACCTGGCCTTCTCCTGCCAGAATGGCCATCTGAAGTCTGGCTGAAGAGACAGCGCGTGGAAACCTAACACAAGGCAGATGGCTCCGTACCCAGTCAGGCACAATAATAATCATCCAAAATCCATTCTCATAAATTGAGCTAAACAGAAAGCTGTGTATGGGCAGGGAAGTTAGTTCATTTTGGGGTTAGTTTTATTTGTCCTAAGGGCTACTGGCACGGAGGAAATGTAGGAGGGGAACTTGAAATCAATCTTGCTAGAAAGCTTTCATCAGTGAAAATGTCCATGAGCAAAGCAGTTTGTAGGAAATGATCATCTGCTGCTGGGGTTTGAATTATGAGGACAAAGTTGGGCTCCGACTCTGTCTCTGAGAATTCTCTGAGAACCACTCGCAACCCAAAATGCATTTTTTCAGTGCCAGTAGAAATCAGGCTTCTTTTAAATCAGGACTTAAAGCTGGATTTAGGAACCATTCTGGGAACCACGTTGGGAACATTTTTGCTCAAATCCTCTGTCCATCTGATAATCTTTCACCACTCTTCATCAAGTATCTGCCAAAGTAGCAAATTAATGACTTGATCCACGTGGATCTCGCCGCCCCCCTGCTCTGCCCAGCCCCTCGCAGGGGTACACGGGGCTCCTCAGCACTCACAATGTGAGGAATGTGGAACTTCCTCCAGGAAAAACACATCCATCTTCCAGGTCAGGGAAATCTGACTCAGTTGCAACATTAACAAAGCCTCTCTTGGACAGATGTGAAGAAGGTGGGACATAATCAACATTCTTCCCTAGGTCTAATCTGCTGTTGCACTGGTGCTGGTCCCAGAATGCATCCCAGCACCATCATTACAGTGTCTCCAAAGAGGTGTAGCTGCAGGAGGGTGGGAGGCTCTAACTCTGCTCTACAAACCCTTCACTACAGAGGCAAACGCCCAGGATGAAACTCTACACTTCCAAAAGCTTCCAGATACCGCTCCCCTCAGCCCCCACATCACTGGGGTCACAGAGGTATCATTCAGGGTTTGATTTACTGAAGGATTAAAAACATCACTGGGAAATGTTTAAACCAAGCACACATTGCGTTCGCAGATGTTACAGGGAGGACTCCACGATCTGCTTTCTGTTTGTACCCTTTCCTGAAGAGCAATCTGTAACCACGTCTGTGCCATCACCCTGGAGCTGGAGGACACTGCAAGACCCAGAGCAGAGGTGGGAAAAGACCAAAGGACTTGGGTAAGAGCACGTCCAGGCTCTGGAAGCTTCCTCTACCTGCACACTGGGCAGTAAGGACCATCCTGCAAAAAGGAGGACACTTGGGCCACCAGTTAATGAGAAACCAGAAAAAGATCCTCAGTTCCTGGACAGGATCCAAACAGGACATGACAAATGGGAGGGCTGGAGGGAGCAGCAATTCCAAAACTGTGTATTAAACACAGCACCTGTACCCGTGTGTGCTTAAGGAGCATGGAAGGCCTCAGGATGTTTCTGGCCTTCTTCTGAAAAAGACATGCAATGAAGTCTTGCTCAAATCAGTAATTCAGGAAAATATCATTTCTGACATGGGTGGGCTCCAAACCAGAGCTTTAACCCTACTGATTTTAATCTCTGCCTCTCGAGAGCAAGTATTGATGGATTTATTCTAAGCACCAGGTTAGATTCCCAAATGGTGCCAATCAGCTCTTTGTGGAGGCCAACGGAGCTCTGCCAATCTACACTAAACTCTGTATTTACAAGGATCTTCGATAGGTACAATTCAGAGATTTTGAGAGGTCCAGATTATAAGAAGTAGCACTAAATCAGGAAGGTGAAAATGGGGGCGATTTTGAGACCATTCATGAGCCTTTTCTTTAGAAGAATATGAGCCACAGCCAGAACAAAAACCACACATATGGCCCCACAGCCTAATTCCAGGAAACCAGACTGAAGTGATATCTACTTTATCACTGTCATAAGTAGATGAAAATCCAGTGAATGCTTCAAGAGACAAACCCCCTGATGTTAAGAGGGAAATTGCCCTCAACTTCTACCCACTTTGGGTCAGGCTTTAAAAAAAAAGTCATTTTTTTTAAAAGTACTGAATAAGGAGCAAACTGGTCATCAGTTCAAGCAGCTTTGTGCCTGTAGGTTGGGAGGGCAGCTGTGAAATCTTAAAAAAAAGTCATTTTTTTTAAAAGTACTGAGATAAGTAGCAAGCTGGTCATCAGTTCAAGCAGCTTTGTGTCTGTGGGTTGGGAGGGCAGCTGTGAAATCCCTTCCCTCCCCAGTATGTTACTGGGGAGCCCCAGAGCACCCAGTCATGCCTCTGCTGTTAACTCAGGTCCTTTACAAACCACTGCCTCCCCGGCAGCAAAGGGAGAGCCAGCTCTGCTCCTGGGCAGCCTTTTTTTGGCCACACAAATACGACATGAGAAATTTCAGTCGATAACTACCTTGCTAAATAGCATGTAATAGGTAGAGACAGTTCAACACACTTTTCAGTCACCTTTCAGTGCAGATGAAGTCACAAATTCTGTCTCTGAGCATCCCAGCATGTACCCGGCTTTACTCCAGGCAGAAGTGAGATCAGCGCTTGCTCCATGTGTTTTTCCAGGAGGAGAGGGAAAGAGAAAAAAAAAGACATTTGAAGGGTGGCATTCTTTTTAAAAAGGGGTCAACAATAGGTCAACAATACAAGAAAATAGGTCATGTCATCTTAATTGGGAAATCATGAATTGGGGCTGTCCCCATCCTGGTAACACAGCAAGGACCTTTGTTCCAAGCGTTAGGCAAAAGCCAGCACCGTTCGCCAAAATAACTTTTCAAGCAAACTCTCATTGAATAAATCTTTTACGCTGAAGGGAACATTTTTCAGTACTCTGTTTTTTAACACCATTAACTTTAACTGTCAAGCCTGACAAGTATGGAAAACTGTTTTCTTACAAAAGTTAACATAAAAAACATTTTCCACTAAAAGGAGTATTGCTCACTACACATTAAGTCTCCATTTTGCCATTTAACTCTAATTGCTATTTTTCTCCATTCCAAATCTTTTTTTCCTCTCCAAGATCTGGACTTTAAAGGGTCTGAGTTGACAGACCTCAACACTTGTTTATAGAAGTTCTGTAACATGGATATATTGTAATGAACTAATTACATTTAAGAGATGGATCTGTGAATAACCATGACCCGTTAATCATATTCATTCACATGCTCCTGTTCTTTTTCCCTCCTGTTTCCAAGTGTCTAGGTGAATTCTTGAAAATACTCCGGAGTCTAAAAACACGCTGGGACTTTCAGAGACAAATCACAAGATGAATTAACAGCCAGATGCTGTGAGAAGGGAAAAGGAACGCCGGTCCATTAGGACATCAGCTTACCAGTGGGGATGTGCTGGCTCAGCGACCTGCAGGAACATGTCCTGGAGGGGTTCATCCCTCCTGACTTTCATCTTCTGAACGTTGCATCTGGTCTCAGCTGTCTCCTAAATTGATGGGAAGCATCGGTACCTCCCAGTGACAGTGGGGACAAGGGACAAACCCGTGCTGTGCAGACTGGTGGATGGGCTGGGGGAGCCCCTGCTGCTCCCAGCTGGCTGCAGCAACGGGCTGGATTACGAGAGGATAAAGCCTGAAGTGATTTAAGACATGTAACTTGATTTTAAAATGTCCACACCGGTGGGATTTGTGTTGATTTACCTCTGTACGTTTCTAAACCGAGTTAAGTGGCTGCACAAATGGTCCGGAGATGTCCCCTAAAAGGGGGTCCCAGGAGACCCAGCGAAGCAAGGAGCCTGTCAAGCCGCTTGTCTGCGCGGATGCGCTTCTCGTCTCCGAGCAGGTGAAGGAATCAATACCAAGCTAAGTGAATTTGTATCTGGAACACTTTAATGGATAACAAGGTTTTCAGAAAGTTCAGTCCCCAGTTCATTTGTTCTTCTGGAAATCCTCATCTAAGCTGGTAAGGAACAAATAAAACTCCTAATTCACTTCTAGATCAGCCTGTCTTTGTGAAACCACCTCTTGTGTTACGCTGCGACACGCAGGCACCTGAGCTGGTGGGAACATAGAGTCAGGGGCTGCTGGATAAATCGATGACAAAACCAGACGAGACCACTGTGATTTTCACTTCTGACCCCCTGGATAACCCAAGCCATAAGACTTCCCAGAACTGATTCCTTCTAAAACTAGAGCAGATATTTTAGGAAAAGAAAAACATGTAAAAATTTCCAATGAAACAGAAAGCTTCATGTTTCCTGCTGCACTGTTGTGAGTGGTTAATTGCTCTCGGCGCTGAAAACGTGGTTTATGTCTAGTCTGAGTTCACATACCTTCAGTATCTTTCTACTGGTTTTTATTAAATGTTTGTTTGCTGGACTGAAGTCAATCTTTATATTGTATTTATGTTTCTCTCCACCAGAGTGTTCAAGTCTCCCTGTCACCTTCCTTTTTGTTAGACAACACAAACTGTCTCCTTCAGTCTCTGAGGGGTAGATGTGCTTTCCAATAATTTAGCAATTCTTACAAGCTTTTTCTCAATTCTCTCCAATTGTTGATAACAACATCTTCCTTGAACTACCCAAGTCACAAGTGGAAACTGCAGGAGAAGCACCTTCCTCCTTGTCTCAAATATTCCTCTTTTTGTACCCGCAAAGAGAACATTTCCCTTCTTTGCCACACTCCCACGTAGGGGTCTGTACTTGGTTGATGGTCCCCACAGTTTCACATATATTTTTCAGAGTCAGAAGTTCCCCAGATATGGCCCAGCTCTACATGGATCCTATTAAAACATGTTGTTTGTTTCCATCCAGGGGATTAATGGGATCTAAACCATTCTGCACTGGTGATCTGTGTTTTATTTGTTATCTCTTCCTCAGATTTTGACTCCATCTCAAAGATAGACCTTTGATAACCAAGGACTCCATTAGAAGCACATCTACCCACTGATTAATTCCCGTTTAAAACTGCACACTACAGCAGTTTCTTACCCATTTCAGAGATGCCTAATTCTTTTTATCATTCCAGTCTTGCATGAGTAGTTATTCGTAGACAAGGTAATACTTTCACAGGACCAGAGGGTGATTCAGGTTGGAAAGGGTCTCACCTAGTCCAACTGGCTCCTCAAAGCAGGGTCAGCCATGAGATCGGACCAGAATCCTCTCCAGAAGTTCATCGCATCAGTACTATTACATTTATCAACACAACTTGTAATCTTCATGGAAAAAAAAAAAGAATCATCTAATTAGACAAGAACCAATTACATTTATCAACACAACTTGTAATCTTCCTGGAAAAAAAAAGTCATCTAATTAGACAAGAACCGTATTCTATAAGCCCATGTTGATTGACACTACTTACATTAATCCCTTTAATTCTTTACTAATTACATGCCCTATCAGCAATTCCATTATTTTGTCCAGGATTAATGTCAGGCAGAAAAACCCGCAGTTATCTGAGCCACCTTGTTTATCCCTTAAAAAATAATGGCAAAAAAACTTCTTCCACATAGCTGTAACTTGCTGGTATTTATTATCTCTAATTAAGAGCTACTATGCAATGTTCTTTCAATATAAAAGGTGTTTTATTGTTAAATGAATGACATGATCACACAATCTCCCTTTTCCCCATAAGAAACAGAAATATTTATTGAACTCTTCAAAATTCTGTACAATATTACTAACAACACTATCATTTTCATGTAGCACTGATCTATTGTAAACATAATTATATCACTCAAGAGAGCTGCATTTCTATGGGGATTTCATTTTGAAAGCCATATGCTGGAGCCTTGTGCTGGAAATACTAAAAATGTGCTCGGAATTCCTAAAATTATACTTGAAAATATCCAGACACAGAAACAATCGCATCTAACATAGAAGAAATTCTATATTAGGCCTCATTTTTACAGATCAAGGGGAACTGATGACAGAATGTAAAAATATAGTAGCAGCTTAGGTACAAGAGACTGATTTGATTACATTTGTTATGTGCAAATAGAATAAAGTCCAAACGAGTAATGTATCTACTTGATGATTTAAAATGCCAGCTTAACAAAGCTGAAAATAATTACAAAGCAAAACAATTGGGAGAAAGAATTTGAGCAGGAATCTGTGAATGATAATTGGGAACTGTTCAAGCCCATTTTACTGCATACACAGAGGAACCACAACCACCCAGAAAAGAATGAAGGCTCTGCTGGCTAAAAGCTGCTCTGCTTTGGAGGGCAAGCGAAAGCCAAATCATAATGTGATAAATAAAAGGGAAATTCTTCCCCATGGAAGACAAGAAACATTAATGGCAATAAATATAAGTCAGCCGCAAGGAATTCCACAAAATTGATAAGGGATGTCACACGCGGATTGAAGGAAAATAGAGGTACCAGGGACAAAAGAGGAAATGAAGGTTTTGTCTCCTGCGTGCAGAAGGTAGAGATCGAGATCAGGAAGCGGCAAACACACCACACCAGGCACCACAGGGGAAACCTTCTGCTGCAGGCTCAGCTCTGCTGATGGATCAGCCCCAGCAACCCTCTCCCATCCTGGAGTCATGTAATATCTGTCACACAGACATCATCCAAAACCACAAAAGGAGTGGTTGAAGACCATGCATTTCCTCACCTGGCCACTCTCCTGGTCTGTAGGGGCACAGAGAAGGTGACGGGCTGGCAGGAGCAGGACCATAAGCAGAGGAAGAACTGAAGCCATCAGAACTGAATGAGCCATCAGAGGATGTTCTCTCAGATAGGCCACTTGTGGTGGCTTTGGCACGACACTGGGGTAGGGCTTTTCCCAAGCAAAGACTACTAGGAGTCTTCTAGGGTTAAAAAACACCATTGTTGTCTTCAGCACTTTCCAGCTCCCTTTTGACCTACATCTGCACAAGTTCTGGATAACACCACACAAGGCATTGCATCAGCATCGTGCTGTGGTATGTTGGTTCATCCAACCCCTCTCCAGACAAAAAACAGGACCAAGAACAAGCACCATGGAGCTAGTCCAAGGCTTCAGAACAAGAGCAGGTAGAGACATTCCCAAAACAACCATTCCAGTCAGCTAACACTTCAGCAGGCAGCATGTGAATGCTCCAAAGCCTCCCCAACCACCACGTATGCCAGGCGTCCCCTACCCAAATACCAAAGTACATGAAGAGGATGAGGTCTCAATATTGAGTATATCAGGTGGCAGAGAAGCAGCAAAAACCTCTTTCAGAATAAAGGCAGTTACAAATGCCAGGAGTCAGTAGACAGTCCTGGAGAGACCATAATGTCCAAAAGCTTCAACACAAAACACTTAAGTGTGTATCTGCATTCAGTAAGTGTCTCCCAGCATCGCATGGCAAGTCTGAGCCTGCTCCCAGCTAGTGAGGTCAGGAGAAAACGTTCTGGGACAGGTTGTCCCAGTGCCGCTGCTCTGAGGTCTCTTCTGCCGTGCTCATGGCACAGAAGACATTGGCTTAACCAAACCCTGAAGGCTTGTCTAACAAGGGTGCCATCAAAAAACAAATGAGGACCCGTGGTCCTAGCGAAGCAAACCCAAATGTGATGTTAATCTTCGGTCAGATGCTCCCCCAAAAGGCAAGGGCGCCATCAAAAAACAAATGAGGATGCATGGTCTTAGTGAAGCAAACCCAAATGTGATCTTAATCTTCAGTCAGATGCTCCCCCAAAGTTAAGGGGACTTCTGAGCACTGCAATAAGCTGTAACACACAACACAACAGCTCAGGTTTGTATGACTGAGTCTACAGAGGTCACGCAAAGGACTTCTCTGTACATTGTCCCTCCAACCCAGAATACACAGGATGATCTGCTTTAACACAGTGAGACAGGAGAGACACAAACAGCTCTTCCACAAAAGCGTGCCAGCCATGCTCTGCAGACACAGCGATAACACGCTCATGGCCAAGGAGATGCTGCTCTGGCAATGACTTCTTTGCAAAGCAAGGTTTTCAAGGGAAGGCCCTCAAGGGTTAAATTCCCTCCCTGTCTCCTCCTCTTCTCCACCCTCCTCCCCGCTCCAGCAAAGGATCCTTGTGAAAGAATCTGTATTCGATAGGCACCAAGAGAGACTCTGGTCTGGGCTTTTTAATAAAGAGCAATTCCTTTGCATTCTCAGGTGTCCCTTAAAATCAAGCTCTGATATTTCTGCTGCATTATTACCACCGTCTGTAGATGTCTTCAGGCTCAGAAAAGCCATTTGCTCTGCAGGTATGCTTTGCCCCTGCAGTGCCGAACAGTTTCTCTCTGTTAAGAAAAGCCCCTCCAGAGGAATTGGTACTTGGAGCCAATTAATGGACCTCTTCCACCTTCTGTCCTGCCAGTTTTTCTTGGCAACGGCATCCCATCCCCGTGGCCGAGACACCGGTCCTTACAACGTGCCATTAAGAAGTGAAACTGGGGAAACGGCGTGTGTAACCTCAGCAAAAAGGAGGTGCCTGAAGCACTGCTGGCCTCGCTTCCTTCTAACCTGTGCGCCACTCTTAATTATGCACTTCATGATTCAGCTTTTGCGGCGCCACTAATTAACTCTGAAGA